ATAGTACCGTACTGCCTTGATAGTTGTTATCATTGGGTTTGAAGTACGCCTGACTGCTGGATACAGTCAGAAAAGCCAAGAAGACGAAACAGGCAAGGTGCAGCCTTTATCGTTTGGCCGGCTAGGCAAGAGTGTTGGGGGTGGCAGCTGATCGGGACAACGAACCTGATAAAACCGCGGGGCAGACCTGCAAATATAGCAGCCTTTTTCAGATATTTTCGTGCCTACCTAAACTCGTACCCAACACCTGTTACTGAAAGGACCTGGATGCTCCTAGACGCACAAATACACACAGAGCACGAATTGTTCAAAGACGTGATTAGCAGCATTCTAACGTGCAAGTTGGATCAGGGCCTTCCTTCTCACTTAATCTTCATCCTAGTGCATAATGTATTTGTTCACATTGGTGTGTGCACCCACCTACCTGGCTGTAGTCCCCGAACAATGCAGTGCACTAGGCTAACCATGCGAAATACAGCCAATCTGGACTCACTCATGTCCCCGTTGAGTCGTCTGGACCTTCTAAGACCCATTTACAAATAAAAGAAGTTCACGAATGAATGAGAAAGTTCCCGTTCCAGATGTTTCTATTAGGTAAGGGAGAATGCTTGTCGAGCAATTGGTTTATTATCCTGAGCTTTCAAACTCTTACAGGAGTTCATTTTCAGGGGGTAAGAAACAACAAAAAAGATGATTATTATAGGGGTTATACGCCAATCAACTGTCAGAGGTCATCCTGTCGTCCAAGGCAAGAAACAGCAACAAAAAGAGGGCAATTATAAGGGGAATACGCCAATCAGCTGTCAGAGGTAAGAAACAGCGACGAAAAGGTGGGAAGGCAATTATAGCGGGTGTGCGCCAACTAACTGTCAGTTACGGACGCCTGGGAGTGGCTGCGCAGACCTCTGTACGCTAACGCCAATTCGATACGTCGATTGATTGAGTTCCTATGCATGGGCCAGGCTTCAATCAATTCTGGGCTCGTCTTGTTTCCGGCGTGGACGAGTATCTTGACGACTGCGAAGTTGAACTCGTGGCCTGTTTTTCATAGGTGAGTTGCAACTTGCGATAGTGCATCACCCCGTCGTACAGCTAACTTATGTTCATTCATGCGTGATTTGAGCATACGTTCATTGCGACCTGTGTAATTACAAGGACAGCTAAGGCACGGGATGCGATACACTACCCCACATTGTTAATTTGGGCTTATTGTTTACCTTTAAAATACTTGCCCACGCCGGAAACAAGACGAACCGAGAATCTATTGAAGCCTGCTCCATAGATGGGAACTCGATCAATAAATATATCGAATTGGCGCTGGCCTGCAGAG